GTTGGGTACCAAATAGGTTGCCCTTGCTTGGGCTTGCCACTATGTTGGACAAGTCTTAAGCTGCAGCAATACTTAGTAATATTTAAATCTTAGCTACAATTCTAGATGTGTTTAAGGCCATGATTAGATCTCATGTTATCAGGTATCACTGCCTTTAGGGGCAACATACCTACCATTTCTGAGGAACTAGGTGAATGGACAGGAAGGAGACAGCTAGGCAAGGCAGCGTGGGACTAGCTGCTGCTGTTATACAGGTGCAGTGCCTGGGGTCGCACATGAGGGCTGAGTTCTAGTTTGGTCCCTGGCCAGTGGAACTGACCTACATACGGTGCAGAACTCAACCTGTCACTCCTGTTTCCTTTAGCAATGCATTTCAGTAAAGCTGCCTGTTCTGAACCCCACTCTTTGGCCTACACCCCAGTTCTCCACTTAAAAAATAAACCAGAAAGGTGACCTCCTGTGGCTCTCAGCAGAAATGGATGAAATGGGTAAACCACAGCTACTGAGGAATATTCCAAAATGAAGCTGGGCTTAAGCCAACATTTCAAAATATTTTTAAAACCTTTTAAAATGTCTTTAAAAATAGGTGAATTTGGGCCACTTCAAACTATGTGGGTAGCATTTTGTTGGAGTGCCTGTAAAGCTTGAGTGAGAAATGCTTTGAAACTGGGTTGGATTTTATTGGGGCTCTTCAAAATGAATGAGAATGCTTGGAAGGTTGAAGATTGCTTTGAAAAACCTGCCTGAAAACTTATGGGAAGGGATATGTACACACATCCTTTGGACCCTTTGTTAAGGTATGCTCTCCTAGAGGAAAACAAATGAGCATGGTTTTTACAAGAAAGGTCACCTGATAAGGAGGGTGACTGCATTGTTAGCGCACACTGAATAGCCTCATTTTGTTGTTCTAAAGGAACACCAGGAGATGCAGATAACTAAGCTCTGAAAACCTTGATAGTCATTTTTTGGTAGGTCATTAAGTTCCTTAATTTCCTGTCGGTCAGCCGATCTCCCATCTTCAGTTGTCCCACCCACATTTTTCTGGGTGTTTCCCATTTTCCTTGCCCACCTTTTAGGGTTGAGATTCATTTGAGATAATGCTTAGTAAGCACATTTCTAAACTCTTTTTGGAATCCCCAGCAGGTATGGAAACAAGTTCCTTGCACTGTCAGCCTTTTGCCTGTAGGCGGCAGAAGTGACCCAGGGCAATCTCTGAATCTTCTCTGGGTATAACAGGAAACCAGAGGCTCCTTCATCTTGTAGTTGAAGCGCTGATAGAAGGAAATGTCATAGGATCTGAGATTTCCAAAATAGGGTGAAATCCTCAGGTTGTCCCCTCCTGGATTCATGTCAACCTCAGATTCCTGATAACCCAAGCAAACCTTGAAATCTGCCAGTTTTGGGAACTTGCCTTGTACAACTGGAGTCAAAACAGCCGTGAGCTAAGTGGGGCTCAGACCTACGGTGCTTGACTGCTAGGAAGGAAAGAGGATAGGACCATAGCTAGGCGCCAACATGAAGCACAGCTGGGACTGAAATGTCCAGCACTCCACCAACAGGACTCTGCCTGGGTGGGCAAAGCAAAGTGAATCATCACTGTATGTTTGCTGCCATTCAGAGGCATTTGCTTTTTAACATTTTAACTATAAATGCAATATATAGAATTCAAGTAATACAAAGTAGAAAGTAAAACTTTCTTCTGTTTTACCATAAAAGTTACATGTTGGGGCCTCCCTGGTGGTGCAGGTGTTAATGTCACCGTGCTTTCATGCTATTGCCGGCAGGCCAGCCCATCACTGCACCATGAGTTTGAAATAGCCAAGGAACTGACCCACATGGCGCAGCAGACCTCTCCTGTCTCACCTGCTTCTCAGCAGTGCATTTCAGTACATCTGCCTGTTCTGCTCCCCCACTGTCTCTGGTGAATCCTTTTACCCCTGTATCTCTGGCCTACACCCCAGTTCTTGCATGCATAACAAAAAAAATTTTTTTTAAGTCTTAGATATTTCTAATTTCCCTCTCTCCTCTCCCCCCATTCATATTTGTACATATATTTTACAGAAAAAGACTCAGGATTCCAGAGTTGGGGTTGGTTTCTGGAGGTTCCCAGCCATTGAAGTTACCTTGGTCCTAAGAATCTAGGCATGTTTCTTTTGTATCATCTGTTCTTACACTGCATGTTCCCACCAGAAAGAAGACAAACCCCAGGCTCTCCCCAGTACACAAACATGGAAGAGGCCAGTGGTATCTTGGCTTCTCCTGGCCTTGCTAGCTTGTACCCTTCCCTTGGCAAACCCTTCCCTTCTGTAAAGACTGCATTAGTTAGACTGAATAACAAAGCCGTTTGAAGAGAATTTTAATTTTGATACTAGTTACATGCCTTACAAAATTTTAAAACTCAAATTGTGGGATCTGTCATACACAAAATACTCAGGAAAAGGTGGAGAATCCATGAGCCTAACCTGCAGCTGTTTGTCTCATGGTTTCTTTCCAGCTCTTTCCCATGTGCATTAATTCATCTGGTAAACCCTCAACTAATGGGGAATTTTTAACACCAATCAAAGGGGAAGGATTTTGTGGGGGTGGGGGAGTAAGGGGGTGGAATGCAACAAAGAAAAATGGGGGAAGCCGGCCAACCGCCTGGGGTTCAAGAAACGGTTAATAAAAAACCTTTTTTTTTTGGACTTCCCTATTGCAGCAACTTTGCTGTCTTATAGCTGGGTTTGGAGATGGTGTGTTTGTTATTTTGCTTTGTTTTCTCCACACTGCATGCCGTGGACAATTCATGCTCCAGATGATAACCCAAGACAAGGCAAGATTTGAAACAGCACATGAAGTGGCATGAGAACATTCGGTTAGTCTCAAGTTACTTCTGATACACATGGTAATTCATGGCATAGTTGGTAAATGATAACTCCATTGCCCTGCCCTGCTAGGGAAGTGAGGTTTGTGCTAAGCAGTTGAGAGGTTCTTTGAAGGGTGGAAACTTGGAGCTGGAGCCAACTTTTGGAGATTCCAGCTGCCTCCAGCTGCGGCTTAGGGCCTCTCTGCTCCTGGGATTTGTTGATTGTTTCAGGAGACTCTGATTGAGCTGTGTTTGAAGGCAGGAGCCTTGTGTTGTATATTTGAGGGCAGAAAACATGGCAGGAGGAAGAGAACATACAAAAAAGTTCTGGGTATGAGAGTCCGTGAACTCACGCAAACAGGCGATGTGAAAATCCCATTTCTTGCATGAAGCTGATCTTGGCTTGCTCACTGATGCCTCAGAAGACAGGAAATCCTGAGTCTGTGGCGGTAGCCAGGGAAATGCTGGAAACGCCTGCTGCGAATCCCAATAGGGTTTGCACAAAGTGTTTTTCTAAAGTCTGTTTGTGTCTGCAGTGTTTTGACCCTTTTTGTACAGTCTGGTAAAATGCTTGGCTTGCAAGGAGGGGCAGGGGACCTGAAACTGGCCTGACCCTATGTGACTTGCCTCAGAGCTAGGCCAGAGGGAAGTGCTACTGTATGGATCCTAGGGGCAAACTGAAGGGGGGGGGGGGGTGAGAGGTGGGGGCTGGGAGTCTGCATTGTCAGGGAATTCCTGCATCTCCAGTACTTGGCAGAAGTCTCACTTCAGCCTCCCTCTGGCCTAGCCATATTCTAGATGTGCTCCCACTCCTTAGGTTCCATTTACACACACACAGCAGCCAAAAGGATACTTTCAAAACATAGCCCTGATTTTGACCCTTCTCTGCAAAACACTTCCATGACTCCCCATTGTATAGAAGCAAAATAAAAGCCCAAGTCCTTCCAACAACTTACGAACCCTGCCCAACTCAAGGTTATATTTTTCACAGGTGTCCAACCCATGTGTGCCTCTGGAAAAGTGGTCTTGCAGCTTCCTCATTACGGGAATCTAATTCCATCTCCATTGACATGACATGGTCTGGCTTCAGTGATGTGACAGGTTTGTAGCCCACAGAAATGGACAAAAGTGATACTAGGGTAACTACCCAGTAAAGCTCAGAAGTCTTCATCTGTGAATATTCTTGGCTCCTGAGGTCTCTCCCTATCCCTTTCCGGCTCTCCAGG